ATATTTTAACTGCAGCCCGAGGACAATTCACTATACCAAAATGACTATATTAATTCTGAATAGTCAATGTCCGCAGCAGACAAGAGTATCTATCAAGCACTACGATTTAGAAAAGACCCATGATGCAGACTTTATAAGTCAGGATTTCGAAACCCCCGAATACTAAGGCAAGTCACTGTAATCCCGGCAAAGCTGGCCCTGCGAGCACACTATCAGAAACCGCACTGAGCCCAAGCAACCTAAGCCACTTAGACCCATTAGGAAAGCTCTTGAAGGACACAAGAGGCAGACGGGATAGGTTCGGAAGCCCATGGTCGAAGCCCACAACAATCCAAAACTAAAAGGGTTGTATGCCAGAGAACCCTTTATTATGAATCCCAATGTACACTCTGAACCCTCGAGCCCCCATAGCGCTCTTAGGAAAATCCCTGCTCGGAGAACTTACCAGGGGATCTTAGCATATTGGATTTGAAGGCTCCAGAGCACAAGTATTGCAGCGCAAGGTCTCTAGTGGCTTCCCAGCCCACATGCAACCAAAAAGCTTTGGTTTTGGGTTTAGGCTCCGGCTTAGGGTTGTGGTAATAGTAGTTGACTATAGTTTAAGATCTGAGGTTGCCAAGATGTGGATGGACCTCGAAGCAGCAGCTCTCCTCGAAACCCCGGTTAAAACCGCAGGCTTTATAATCTTTCTTTGGGGTTCGAAGGATTGGTTGCTCTTCGGGTTTTGCTGTATTAGGACCTGGGGTAGTAAACTTAATAAGATTTCTGAAACATTCCTGGTTCTCAAAAAAAAAGCAGAAACCAGATCATGCAAGGGTTTTGGGGTAAAGGACCTCTTAAGGGTTTTGGGGTTAGGTTTTGAGGATTTTCGGAGCTTAAGGTGGATGTCCCAGAAACAGGAAGACACCGAAACCACAATTAAACCGAAGGCACTGCTAGCATCTTCTTTAGCCATACGAAGCGCTCGCTTTCCAAGAGTAGAGATGACCGGGGTTGCTCCACTATCCACCACTGCCCAAGCGAAGCTGCCAGCAAGCACACCAGGGCTGACCTGATGATCGGAGCCGGGGTCTTTCAATGTCAATACATCAGGGTTTAGGGTTTAAGGGTTTGAGGGCTTCTAGGATTATAGGGTTTAGGGTGTTGAATGCCCACAAAACCCGGCCTGGCGGCCATCACGTTGGAATAAACTACATTCTTGTATCCTGTGTACCCTTCAGGATTTCCAAAGCTTCTCTTCGTTGTTGCCCTGGATATGGAAACCCAGGAGCTGCAAAGGGTTCCTAGCCACACACAAGAATTCGGCTGGCCACATAGCACTGCTGCACAAAACGTCCTCAGCTCCGAAAATCAAGCAAGAATGTCTTTTGCAAGAAGTATGAAGTCAACTGCATCATGTCCAAGTGTATATCAAGTCACCCGAAGCCCGAAGATTCGCAGATATTCATTCCCCGGCCATAAATGATGTCACAAGCTGCGACCTCCTTGCCTTGGTAGTAGAACTCTTTCGAAAGGGTCGCAGATCCAGCGAAAAGTTCGGTCAAGTTCACTTCCTGGCGCACGGTGGTTTGTGTGCTATGGGCAGATTTCTTTGCTATAGAAGGAATGCAAGCTTGGAGGTAGGCATTCTATAGTGGAGGTTTCCGGAACTAAGTATGTAGAGCAGCTAGGTAGGTAGTTTAGACATACCATCTTTAGAATTGATGACACAAATATGATATGGGTTGTTTTTTATTCGCTAGAATATGGGCTTGCTTTCACGGAGCGGGCCTGGGCCTGGGTCGAGGGTCAGAGATGTATATGTTTGCTGAGTGCGAGTGCCAAAAATATGTTTGCTGACATTAGGGCCGTGATAGTCCCAATGTATGCATGTTTTAAACCCCGAATCTACCTAAGCCTACTAACCCAATAGAGGGTCGATATAATCCGTGTTCCCAACCTAAGCCTCCCCTGAACCTACTAAAATTGTCTAAGAGGGTCCCTTGAATTATCAAAAGCAAGATCCCTAAATCCCCATGGCAAACCTTTGGGACCCGGGCCCTAATAAGTAACATAAGCCTCGTAAATAGACAAACCCGAATTCCTCATGGTTCCCCGCACTCCTGCAAAGCAACACCCCAAGCCAAGCACCCTGTTGAGTCCAAACACCCTGCTAGCAAACGAAGCCTTGCTGTAATCGATGCTCGTGTTCCAGAGCAACAAGAGAATGCAAAGGACGAAAACCTGAGCCAGGCTCACAGAAGCTTTGGAAACTAATACTCTATGCCGCACATATGTTTCCTACGGAGGGAACAGGAGTGTAGGATTTTGTATGCATAGGAGCATCCACGGTTACGGCTGCACACTATCTGGTCGGTAAAATCATATCATATTACACACACAGGTTTAGGTTTTTAGGGCTTTAGGGCTTTTTGGGTTTTGGGATTTTAGGCCTTTAGGATTGTAGAGCTTTGGGACTTTAGGGTTTTAGGGTGCTTCGGTTTAGGGCTTAGGGGTTTTAACGGCTTTAGGACTTTAGGGCTTTAGGGCTCTAAGGGCTTTAGGGCTTTGGGATTTTCGGGCTTTAGGGTGTGTTTAGGTTTATAAAACCTAACACCTCCGATGCAAACTAACCTCCCTGCACAGAAACCTTCGGTGATCCAAGGCGAATCAAGCTGATGCAGACATCTTCGAATTTTCGCTTCGCCATGGCCAGACAGGCTCGAGAGAGAGCCTTTAGCAGAGCTTGTAAGTCAGGATCGGATGTTGGAGTGCGTCGTAACTCTACCTGAATCTTACACCATGTCATACCATGTATGTGTGTGCTCGGAATATAAGTTGCAGAGTCCACAGTTTGTTCCAGGACTGAAGGACTGCACCAAACATGTATGGTTGAGCAAGCGACACTGAAGCATGACAGCATGTTGCCACTCCAAGCAGAAAGACAGGCTCACATGCACTCGGCAGTCAGCAATTAATAACTTGCAAAGGCGGACGTGTCTTCGGCGGCTGGCGCACCGAAGCAGCTGCGCTGATCAAGCGGACCCGAGGGCCACGGCGGCGAAGGGCATTGCGAACCTGGCCAATGGGGTATCATAGAATCAGCTAGCACATTTATCGAATACTTCGCTACGTGCTGTATCGAGCTCGCACAGACAAACACTGAGAGGCAGGAGCAAGACTTGGAATCGGTTTTCCCAGCGCACAGCACAAGCCGTGATCACAGCCCTTAGCAAAGGCAACACAGTTGTGCATGTAGAATTAACATCGGATCGCGCGAGAAGCCAGCTTGCTATCTGACAGCATGCACCGTTGTGAGGAAGCGCCCTGAGCCTTTAGCCCATTTCCCCGGTAGCGAACGCATATACGGCCAGAAGGCATTCACCCCGACCGGCTCGGTTTCACGATCATGTGCTATGGATGCAGGCAGATCGAGCTGAACACAACATAGACAACTTGAAGAAACCAGTCAGTATTATTGGTGATAAGTTATACAGGATTAGGAACAGATACACCACTGTGTGATGCAGCTCAGATTTGCTCCATCGTCTCAAGATACTTCGAAGCTGCCACTGCGCAGGTCTTGTACATTGAAACTCTCGAAGAGACGTTGTCGAACTGCTCGGCATACTGCTTTGCAAAGTCATAGAAGTGGGACTGGGCAGGGAATTACAAGTCGAATCTATGTCGACACGAACCCCTATGTAAACCCCTAGACACCCCAATACCCCCAATAGCATCCTAACCCGCAATTAAAGCCCCCAGACCCCTTGCAACGTGAAAGTGGCTTGGAACCTGCTAGACTGCATGCAGAAGAATGAGCAATTCAGGATTTCTTGTTTACAATGGAAACAGGACTAAGATTTCGTATACATGGGCTGTGTCCGACCTGAGTAGCAGTGGCTTGTCCGGGAACCATGTGTGGCACGAGCACCGATCTGAAAGACAGCACGCAACCATCCCAGAGCTTCTGGGTCCAGTTGTCCGACTTGGGCCGATAGCGACGGGCAAAGGTGTTCGGCCAGTCTTCCTCGGCCACATCCTTCCGCAGAGACTTCTTGGGCACAGCCTTCTTGCATTCCTTGCTCTGCTGCGCTCTCTTGCCATGAACCCTGGTGGCGGGAGGATCCACAACTGTCTTGCGGCGCTTCCTCGATGGCGCATCGCCCCCATCCCGAGCTGCAGTCTTTGAGCGCTCAGCATCGGCCCCATCCTCAGCGTCCGGCTCCCCCTCTTCTGGATTCCGCAATCTCAGGCGCTGCGGACTCATTCGCACTGGGCTGCTCCGCATGCGACTCCTCAGCAATCTCAGGCGCCTTGGACTCATTCACACCGGACTGCTCAGCATGCGACTCCTCAGCGTCCGGCTCCCCCTCTTCTGGATGCGATTTCTTTCCCCGCCCTCTTCCTCGGCCCCGGCCCCTGCCTCGCCCGGCGGGCTTGGCCTTGTCTTTCTTCTCGGCCTTCTCGGCTTCGTTGGAATATTTCACCATGAGTTGCTCATCACGTGTGGGAAAGGATTTGATGGGGGTGAGCTCGACCGGCCGGATTCCTCTGGGGCTCGGGGTTTCCTTCTCAGCACTCTTCGGGGCGATTGCAGTTGGGGACGTAATGTCACCAAGCTCCTTAGTCTTCTCATCTGCAAACTTCTTTGCTGGCGATGGCACAGGCTTGTCCAGGCCGGACAAAGCACTCAGCATAACCTGAGTCGACACTTCAAAAGGCTGGGTTTCTGCCTGGTCCATAGCAGCTCTTGATCCCGTAGGAGACACCGCTTTGGAGCAGCCATTGACAGGCTCGTCATCGGAATCCAGCAAGATGGGTCCTGGCAGACCAATGATAATTATAAGATATTTGTCGCGAGATACATAAAAGGGAGGGCATGGATGCTCCTTTGGGCAGGCTCTTGGCAAACTCCTTCGCCGCACGCTTGCGCTCAATAGCCATCCTTATGAAGTCGTTTGATGCAAAGCCCTGGCAAATCACACGATGCTACACAATGGTTGCGAATTTCTGACGAGCTACAGTCGTTTGGCCTCTAGCTTGAGCTCAGCTATGCGAAGTTCCTTCTCTAAATCCTCACGTGTAGGCTGCCTAGGAAGCAGCGGAGCTGCTTCCTCATGAGGCATCACCTCAGGATTCACCGGAGCCTGCTCTGGCACCGCACTTGTTGGGGCCATCTCTTCGGGCAGCTCAACACTGACCGAGGCATTCCCCGGCACCATCTCCTCTGCCACTGAAGCAGGCTCCATCACGGCATCATCTTTCGAATCCGGATTTTCAGCAGCCCTGGGCCGGTCCGAATCCACCTCCGCTTGGGGATCCTCGTCGTCATCATCATCCTCCCCTCGAGCTCGCAGAGCTCTTGCGATGCGGTCGCCAACAGCCTCAATTAGCAAAGTCTGAACCAAAGTTTTTGGGATTTCACTGCCAGGGCACCTGTCCCAACTTCTTGAAGGCCCGGTCAAACTCTGCCACGAGCTTGCGAATGGTCCTGTCCTGATTGATAATGGCGATCCTAATTCCCTGGAAATGCCAAACCCAACTCGTCGAAATGACAACTCCTGAAACCGAGAGACCCGAGGCTTCTGATCACGCATCCATTTGCGCTTCAAGAAGCCGAGCATTCGCTTCAAGCCCCATCCGTCTGAATAAGCTGCACCACCCAGGCTCAAGGCTTCGGGATAGCCGGCGTTGCAATGGAACTCCAAACAAGCCCCCTGCAACAGGAATACCCTTGGAACAAAGATGCACCCCACGTCACCCATGATCTTAAGGATCGTGGCCAGGATATCGGAGTTAACCTTGCAGCATTCCAGGTTGCCGACAACCACAGGGTCGGGACCATATGCCTGCAGAACAATCCCGCGCAGCAAATTCATTCCGTTGAGGCTCCTTTCACGGTAGGCACGAACACCGTCCCACACGGCCGGCAGCTGTGCCACCCATGTGAAATCTCGCGCATCGAAACCACTGCCCGCAGCAGCCATGACACCCTCTATACAGCCTAAGCAGCTCAACCTTCGAGAACAAAATCCTCAAAAGAAACTTGTCAGCTCATGCAATTGCATTTACTGCAGTGCACAACGATGACATGGCAAATCGGGAATTGACTGCTATCTCTCGAATAAACGTGGCCACGCGCCTGATTCTTGCTGAAAAGACTCGGGCGAGGTTCCGACCTGGCGCAGGAGAGGCTTAGCACATCCTATATATTGAGGTCCTAGCAGGCTACACCAAACAAACTTGAATCTAGCCGGGCACACATAGAGGGGGCTCACACACCCGCATCGCTATCCACCTCCCACAGACGGCAGCCGACAGAAGCACCGCTGAAACTCCCAAAACGGCCTGGCTCGAACTCGTCGGACGTAAATCTCCCCTGCCACAGGGGAGATTTACGCTGCGGCTATCCACATGGTGGGACGATAAATCTAGCCGGGCACACACGGTGAAGTAGCCCTTCAGCTGGCACCCCTGAGGTCCTGAAAATCCCCCATGCATGTTGCACGACACACAACTGAGCTTCCCCAGGTGCACCTGGTCTCTTTTCTCAGAGACCACACCGCAGCTGGTCCACCATTGTTCCACCCTGCCATGCCCATTATTTGCTACTCCCAAAGCAACCCCGCCACCAGCAATCCAAAGCTAACCTCAAGCTAGCCGGTTGTACGTCCCGGCGAAGAGCTGAGCAGCAGCTCGCACCATGAACCACCGAGAACCGATCTGTTTATCGCTGGCAAGTGACTGATGAATCTGTACTGTTAACATCTGTGGTATTTTACCAAGAACAATTGGGATTGACGGGATTTGCAATGTAGAATCTTTGGTATTTTAGCAAGCTTATAATGGATTGACGGGATTTGCAAGGGTACTATGTGACACAGCCTGCTTCTCCGAGATTGAATCTACCACAGTCATGGGCTCCTACCAAGGATCTCAAACAAGAGGCCGACACCAAGCAAGTCGGTCTTTCACCCGGAATCACACAATTAGAGAAAATACGCACTCTTCGCCCGGACTGAAATAATTACGCACCTTTCCTAAAAGACCAAATATTTACCATGCTTTTGGTTTCACAGGTAGAGTTTAGGTTTAGGGTTTAGGCCCTTCGCAGGGCATCAAGAATAGTTCCAGAAAGTAAAGGAGCCAAATACGGAACCCCGAAATAGCAAGATTATGCAGCATCCGAAAGCCTTAATTCCCCTAAACCCTGAACCCTAAACCTTGAACCCCAAACCCTAAACCGTCATCCCTAAAACCTAAAACGAACCCCTAATTAAGCCTAAACCCCACACCCCTAAGCCCTAAACCTGTATGTAAGTTTTGAAACCCAGGGCCATCCGAAAACTGCCGCTTGGCGGTGAGTCTCACGGCAGCGCGGAGGAGATATCATGGACACCCCCCAAAAGGCAGGTAATAGTATTAGGGTTTAGGGTTTAGGGTTTAGGCCTAAATAATTACCGTTCCTTTTGCTTGTAATACTTTAAAGGGCCGAACATCATGTTCTAATCAGTATGGCCCCTATACTGAACAGATCTATAGATGAGGTTCTCGAACACGGAAGTCACCCTGAGCCCCTAAAGCCTCGAAAGCCTCAACCTTCAACCTTAAACCCTGGTTCTATCAGGTTCTGTAGGTTTAATCCTTAAGCCCAAACCCCAAAACCGTAAGCCCCCACACCCTAAAACCCAAACCTTAGGTTGGTTTATGCCCGAAACCCTAAACCCTATACCCATAATCCTAAACTCTGTACCTTAAACACTCAAGCTAAGGATAAATAGAAAAGGCGTGAACTGTTTGGGAGGCAGGGCCATGAGCGCTTGGTTGCACAGAAGAACATTCGGTTTGCTACAACTTCTAGGATGCCGCAGGCCCCGTCGGCCCGCGATGTGATCAAACAGTGCGGGGACTATGGGTCGGCCGCCCTCGGGTGGATGTGGCGCACCCAGTCTGATAACTTGCCCAACCTGGAGGACACAATGTGCGAAAAGAAATCGTGCGCATCGACCAGAACATGTGGATTCTACAGGCAGGCGGAGAAGGGGCAAGGCAGGCAGGACGGCAGGGGAGGGGGCAGGAGGTGGCAGGAAGGGGCAGGAGGCAGAAGCAAAAGGCAAGGGCAAGGGCAAGGCAAAGAGGGCAGCCCAGGCCAGCCAACAGCCAGGCACCAGGCAGGAGGCAGACGCAGAAAGGCAAGGACAGGGGTGCGCAGGACAGAGCAAAAAATAAATAACCCAAAACCCGCTCTAAACCGCCCGAAACCCGCCAAAACTGCGCCCCCAAGCCCACACACCTACTATAAACTCTAAGCCCAAGCCCTGAACCCTAAGCCCTAAGATCCCAAATGTTTTTTGGGGTTCCTGATATCCGGAATGAGCGACCTCCTGGGATCTGAGGCATCTATCTTCGTCGCCACAGATACAAATTGAAAAGAAACCCTGTAAGGGGTTGAGAGACCTAATTGTAGACGAGTCGCAGATCCCGGCGGTGGTAGTGATGCAGATAGGAGACGAAACAGCGCCGGGAAAAGACTGCGTTCGACAGAGCCTCATGCAAAGGTTTAGGGGTTTTGAGGGTTTAGGTTTGGGCTCCAAATCCTGAACCTTCACTTTGGGGGCTTTAGGGTTGGCCATTGGGATGCGGCTTTATTTCGGGTTCGGAATGAAGTCTGCCTCAACTCAATCTCAAGCCCCTAGTTCCGGAGGCCCTGGAGTCGAAACGGTTTATGGTTTAGGGTTTAGGGGTTTAGGGTTTAGGGGTTTAGGGTTTAGGGGTTTAGGGTTTAGGGTTTAGGGAACTTTGATTACTGCCACCATTTCGCTACCGCAGTGCCGCAAGCACTACTATGGGGTCAGAAGACAGACCTAGCCATGGTTTTATCCTGGTTCTGTCATAAATCTACTCTATTATCCCGGTTATTGCACGGATTGTTGGGGAGAGGATTGAGGTCTTGTTGTTCTGTTGCGTTGTGTTATTGAATGTGTCTATGCTGCGTCGGGCTGGTGACAAGTTTTCGAGTTCCCGGTGCTTAACGCAAACAAAACAAACACACACACACACACAAACACACACAAACACACACACACACACACACACTCGCTCTCTCTCTGGCCAGGCATGCGGCTGAGCTCTGAGAAGGGCTTACCAAAGTGGTGGTCCGAACCCAGAGCGCCCGTCGCCCCTTAGTCAATCAATGCTAGGGGTTTGAGGTTTAGTTAGGGTGCTTCGTAATGCCAAGCAGAAGCAAAGCTTAAGGCACATTCCGTGAATTTTCGGGGTGCTGGGCTCTCCGGAGCCAGATGGGGGAATTCGCCGCGCGCAGAAAGGACTACTGGATATGCAGCTTGCAACTTCGGGCCCAGTGCCGAAAGCTAGGGCCGGGCTTAATTAAGGTTTAAGGTATGGTCCAGGATCTCGCAACTAGCAGGAATGCATTGGACTTGTTTAGAGTTTAGGGGTTTACGAAGCTGTGGATTTCTTTCTTGGTACCTGCATAGGCATGCATCCCTGCAAACCGCTGGAATCTTAGAACAACCTTTCCATCCCGAATCCATAAGATTGCTTGGCCCCAACTTCCTGTGGCTTGTCAACCCAGGAAACATTTGAGACAACACAAAAAATCCTGCATAAGAACCTCCGTATGACCTACTACTGCCTCTCCGAAAACTCGTAGAAACCATCATCGCCATAAACCACATACACAACCACGACCACAACCACAACCACAACGACAA